TACACACGAGATGGCAATAGACTAGTTTCTGTAATAATTCCAAAGAGCATGCGGTTTAAAAAGAATTGTTATTGGATGTGTAATTGTGAATACAGGTTTATAATAAGGTACCAACATGTATAAAACAATTGCCTTTTGTAAAAGTTAAGACTGCTTTGGTTAAAAGGCAACACGATGAGATATTTTATTGTGTAAAGAATATTTAAGTTATTGTAACTAGTGACATTTCAATTACATATAATTATTGTAGCTTCTTCTCTTTATTTAATGGTGCTTTATAATTAACATTGTAATCTAAATTTGAGATTATTAATTTGACTTTTGAATTTTTTAACCATGTATTTAATCTTGAATAACGTTTTATAAAATTAAGCTGCCACTTTTTGTAATTTCAGTAACTTGTTATTTATTTGATGAATTTAAATTTATTATTATTGATATTGAAAAATTAGGTCATAATGTAAATTAATATGTATTAGGTTTAACAATGTATTGCAAAATATTTGCATGCTATTTTAGAAGACTGAATGGGCCGATGTTCAAAATTGTAAGATCCCCAGTGCACCCTATTCAAATGCAAATAAATATATTCTAATACACATCAGATAATTTTAAGAATCTTACCAAAATAAATCGATTCCAGAATTATACTTTTGCTACACTGCTGTCCTCAAGCTAAAACGCGGCAAAATGACAATACCAACTTTTAAGATATGGCCAAAAAACGGCGTGTAAACTTAACATTATTGCTATTTTGTAACCATTTTTTTTTGTTCTGTATTATTTCGATAGCTCTAATAAACTACTTCCGAATAGCTTTGCTGTTTAGTAAAAGTATCCTAATGAACATTGTTTTAAATTTAATTTTGGTATTATAACTTGGTAAAATTCAAGGTGAAATATCTAGATTACACCACAATATGTAATCTGTAAATCTCTAAAACTGTGTAAAATGTAATCTGTAAAACTTTATTGTCCATGTATAAATTTATTAGCTAATTTAATTTAAAATCTTTCAATGAAGTATCCGAACGCTCAATAAAAGTCTTTCGAATGTAGCTCGACAAAGTAAATAAAATCATTATTCAGACGATGCATCCTGTCAAGGATGCGAAACGTCAATAAATAAATAAATCAGTGCATCTTTACCGTTGAAACTTATTTTATGTAATGAGTGGTGTGCGTGATAACCTAAGAAACCAATTTGAGAATAATTGAGATACTACGTGGAGATAAAAAAATATTAAATAATCTATATCCTGTTGCAAAGAGTCATGACCGGATCCCTTTATTGTACAACTAATTTTAGGTCACCAGCAAATAACAACGGTGTAGACATCTTGACTACATTCGGTAAGTCGTTGATTATTAAAATAAATAACAGTGGTCCTAAATTACTGCCTTGACTTATACTCGTACCTGATCCTGTAAAATAGGGTTCGGATAGCCTACCGCTGCAATCCACGTACTGGCATCGGTCTCATAGATATGAGACGAAAAATGACAACGTGTGCGGTGTGCAACCCACCATAGCCAACTTTGATAGAAGGACATCATTATCAACAGTATCAAAGGCCTTCCTAAAATTAAAGTAGCCTACATCAACTTGGTGACCAGCATCTACCGCCGGTACTATATCTGGCATAAGATTCAAGAAGTTCCTTGTTGGACGGACCCAGGACGGAAACCGTGCTGTGCTTCTGACAACAAAGCACTTATTTTCGGATACAGGCTACTATGAATAGTCGAATCGAATACTTTAGCTGGAGTGCATAAAACCGCAAAAAAAAAGAGTTTGAATGCTACTTATCCTCACTCCTAACCTTAAATTAAAACAAAAAGGGTAGATGCGGTACATACTTGCATCAAATAAGATATAAACCGACTCAACTACATAAGCAACTCTCACACACGCACACGTCTGTATATAAACATTCAATCGAGCAAGCGAGACAAAACTATACGCTTTAACGCAGCGTATTGTTATCCTTTTGATGATAACAAAATGGCGATTACGTAAATAACATTCACGACAAACCGTGATCTTTGAGAAAAAATATTTTAACAGTTTTACGAATGAAATGTGTTGCCGAGGCATTTGTTATTTGATTTTGAACTATTTGTGTTCTTTATAAAAGCATCGAAGGCATTGTTTCATCTTCATAACACAGAATATACGCAATATTATTATATTGAGTGCACATGCAGCGTGTTTGAATGTCCAATTGTGACAAAAGCGAATTATGGTCATGGATCACTTTTCAGCCGCGCGTACCGTATCTTCCCTTTTTGTTTTAATCTAAGCTCCTAACTCGTTTCGTGAAACAAACTATTGTTACTTTTTTAAGGGCTCTGAATGTTGTGACTTTGCGCTGTGCAAACAGCGGTACCACTCGTTATAACTGTCTCGGACAAGGAGTGAGTATAATTATTATGTTGACGAATACTTACGTCAGACGTTACGGCACTTTAGACGGGAGTCACAGTGGTAGTTAACGACTCCTTAGGCATGTAATTCTACAAAACGGCGTCCTAGTGTAGCAAAATATTCAAAATATTTTTAACTTCATTTATAAAGAACAGGACTGAGGTTTTTGACAGAAGTATAATAAATGAAACTAGTTTTTAACGGGTTAATGCACGAACTTTATTTATTTATTGAGTTTAAACTAGTTTTATTTAATAAGTGATGTGCGTGAAAACCTAAGAAACAAAGAAGTATATTAAGGTAAACTTATACGAAACAAATAGCTAAAAAACAGCAAAGTGACTTTAACTGCGTTTAGGCCTAGTATTTTCATGAAATCTTTTTTAGATAAAGATTAAAATGAAAGAAATTTAATGAAACTAGATTTTAAAACAGTGAATATACTTAAACCCTTTTTTAGATTAGGAAATTTGACTAACGACGATTTAGTTAGGACAAACTGCAATAATTATAACATACAACTGTTTTTTAGATATGATATGCTGTATTACTGCGTTTAAGCATTGTGATAACGAAAGTAAGTTTTGTTTAACTGATTTCTCGTAATCTCTATTTTAAAAACTGTAAAAGATACGAATACTTGTTAAATACAGATCGATAGAGAATTAAAAACTGTATAAGATGAAATTTAAGACTGAAATTCGACCACATGACACTTACGTAGAGAATCGAATACGTACTAGACTAACAAAATTATCGGGTAAGAGAAATTCCAAGCTACCTACTTACTGGTTCCGATAACTAAATTTCTGCCAAGCGATGGGATAGTTTTGGATGAGTTATTTGCTACCAATGAACACTTAACTTGTTTCCGTCAATTTGAAATGGACCAATGCTAACCAAATTTAACCTCCTGACCGCCCTTTTACTACTCATAACACATAACTTAAAAAAAAACTGGCGGTTGTTAGTCCTTCTTGCGGTAAAAATATCATAAATGGATCTTTATCTTTTTACCACTGAACAAACTAAAAATCACTGGAGTCAGTGACACCTGCAGTGCTATTCTGTAAAATTTTCACGCGGAGATCTCATATGGACTCGAAAATTTTACAGAAAAGCACTGCTGTCATCTTTTTGCAAAATGGCATCGATCAGTGGTGAGGTGCGCTCACGCCGAAGGGTTGCTAAGTGAAATCAAGTTTAATCATGATAATTACTATGAATTCCGTTGAAAATTGAGTTCTAAAAGTTTGGCCGAGTAAATTACGTCATAAGTTTTGAATAATTTTTGAAATAGACTAGCATTTGACGTGAACATGAACGGTCTTTAGGTTTTCTTTCCATAGAGTTGTTTCTCATTTTTTTCGATTTAGAAGTAGTAAATTCTTGGTTGCTGTACCAAACTGAAAAATTGATTATTGGAAGAAAAAAATCATCCGAAATTGAACAATTGAGAGAATATAAGCTCAATTTAGGCTGCAAATGGATAGCAGATAATGATGAAACAGTTTATGAGATAGATTTTTTAAAATATTTTAAAATAATAAACACGTTTTCTTAAATCACAAGTAGTTTCATTGCTCTTACTATAAATATAGAAGCACAATATTTCTTTATATCTATGCGAAATGCTTTGTCCTATACAAAGGACAACGTATACTCTGCTCTTGTACTACATAAATGACATAGTGGAAAACCAGATTTTCTTGCTTAGGATTTTTTGCGTAACTTCCACCATATACTAGAGTCTTCATTAACAATACACTTAAGTTTTACGCTTCAATTCAGAAAAAAAGTACCTTGAATAGTCTGGACGTTAAGGTTAATATTCGTCGTGTGAGGCGGGTCGTTGTGTTACCTAAAAAATTGTTGAGCGAAGCGATGGCTGGTTCATGCGTCATCTCGTGAACGACTGCTGCCAGCGGAGATGAGTCTGCTCTTGCTTCATTGGATACTATTAATCGTTGTAGTAAACTTTAATCGTTCATTTTTTTTTGCCTAAACAGCAGGACACGTCATTCCTAAACTTTGTTAAACCAGTTTTTTATATAATCATAATTTTTATATTATTTGTAATGGAAAGTGACTTTATGACTTACCTCATATTGAAGTCATTTTTCAATTTGAAGACCGATGGCGTAGCTTTTCGACATTCACAAGTGCTTGTAACAGCCTAGACTGAATAAACGATATTGAATTTTGAATTTTTTTTTTGAATATTTACGCTGAGGTAGGTATAGGGATTAACCAGTTACCCCTTAATCCCGCACTGTAAACCACATTGGGCCTTTATGTCGGATAAATCGTTCTATCTATGTAAACACGTGATTCTTACCGCAGACAAGGCCTCCGAGACCCCTTTATAAGGACATTATTATTATGCTGATGACAATGAGGCACATGGATTTGTGTTCACAAATTAATGAAAATTTCTGATTTCATAATGTATTTCTGTGAAGTAGACTTTCTTATTTAAAATTCTGATTCCCTAATTTCCGTCTGTCAAGGAAATATCTTTTTTTTTGTATAATCCGTCTTAATTGTTTAATATACTCTTTTTTATTTGCAGGGCTGAGCTGACGAACAATTTGGGCTTCCAATCATCACTAAGCATAGCATCTAAAGATGTCAGTGAAAAACCTTACAACCCTTTCGATCATCGCAAGTTGGAACACCCGAACTCGTAAGTGTCTAATACTGTTACGTCATTCTTTTTACGCGTCAACTGACAAAACAATAGTTATAAAGAACCCATGGAAATAAAACGGGCATAGGAATGATTTAAAATTAACAAGCGGCATCAAATTTCCATTCAAATCAAAGAATATACTCCTGAAAAATATCTCCTATCCCTCTGGGGAAGCTATCTCAACCGCGCAGAATACCTTGTGAATTAACATATTAAGCTTTTGGTGGTGTTTTTTTTTTTCATTTACGTAGTCAGGTCATAAATTCTGTCACATGTTTAATATAAAATAATTGAAACAAGTTTATTCATTATGTAACCATTTATATATCAAAATGAACTTAACAAAACATAGATTCTTACGACGATAAAGTTTATTCAAAATGACCTCCGTGATTTTGAATACGGGCCTTCAATCTGCGCGACCAGTCGTCTATTGCAGCACGAACGAGGTCCATGTCAATATCGACGGCTGCCTTAGTCAAGGATGTCTTGAGTGACTCCAAATTGGGATGAGGCTTTGAGCTTGCCTTATCCTACAAGTGTTGCCATATCTTGTAATCTAACGGACTCAAATCTGGACTGGAGGAGGGCCAGTCTTCGTGCTGGATGAAGTCGATTTCACAGTCGATTTTCAATCTTGTGTGCTCTTCGCTCTATGAGCTCTTCAGTCTCAGGTCCATTAGACAAGCATTTAAACGACGTTTGGTTTTTCTTCGATATGCCCGAAACCCTAAGTCTTCATTTAACACCCTTTTCACTGTGGTTTTGCTTAACCCCATCTGAAAGACCAACAGTTTCTGCTTCTTTGAATTTGCGCCTTCACAGCTTTTATCACTGTTAGAGTCCTAACAGACCGAGGGCGACCACTTCTTGACCTGTCATCTACACTAGAGTCTTCATTGTATCGTTTGATGGTACGTTAAACGAATCTTTTGGTTATATTCAAAATTTTCAGTATGTCAAAAAAATTAATTGGCGCGTAACCGCAACAATGCAACGCAATAACTGCAACACGGTCTTCTTTAAGCATGCACTCCATATTTAAAAATGAGTAGAAGTCTAAAAAGTATACATTTTTATTTTCATGAACAATTCGAAATTCGAATTCAATAAACTTTTTTGTGACCAGCACTCTAAAAGAAAAGTTTTACTGTGTGACAATACTTATGACCTGACTGTGTATTTATTTATTTGCATACATTAAGAAAACATAATTACAGTACAAAAATCTTAAAGATTTATCTGTGCTGCAGAGTCGCTCCACAGCCAGTCACACCGGACAGCCTGCCTGGTTTTCTAAATAATACTTTTTGAAGTTATACTTCTTTCGGCGCGTTATGAAAAAATGATGAGAGTGAAATTTTTAGATGCGCGCGTATCACTGTAACCCAAAAGTAACAGCATGAAGTTGGCCGCGGGCGCGTTATGAAAAAATCATGTGAGTGAAATTTCGAGATGCGCTCGCATCACTGTAACACAATAGTAACACCATGAAGTTGGCCGCGGGCGCGTTATGAATGTTAGTGTCTAATAATGGTGGATTATTAACCACTTAGTGATATTCGAACATCGAAGTTCAAAGTACCTTTCGAACATCTGTTCGAAAGGTACTTTGAACGATCCACGGAGCTCCATAAGATGATCGCGTTGTCAAAAATAATGTTGGCACGCTCGTCGCCTCTGATCACTGTTTTCATATTTATAATATTTATCCACATGTTTCTAGTTTCTATATAGACACAACGTGTTTTAGTTACTTACAAGTGCTAATTACATATGGACTAATAACTTAAATTCAGTAGTGATTTTAATTGAATATTTTGAATATTTATTTAATTTTTCAAATTAAAACTGAACTTAATTGACTGTGTTAACTATCCATTTCCAGTCCTTTTATTATTTTATTGTAATTATTAATTATTTGCATGCAATTAAAAAATATTTTTAATGATGCTAAAGAAGTATAACTTCTCACGCGCGTACATAAGTTACACGCATCCATTTTTTTTTAACATTTTAACAACTTATTTTATCATTTCGTGTTATATTGTTATAGTGTTAAGTGAATAGTGTACAGAGCTTTACCGTGTAGAGGAACGGAAATTTAAATTAATAAACGTGCATGTAGCGCCTCTAATATTGTAGGCGTCTACAGGCCGCGGTAGCCGCTTACCATCAAAAGACTTTTACTACCTTTATGGTTACCACAAAACTTACATCTGATCACGAACATAACATTCGAATGTGGTGAAATAGAGAGCAAAGGTTATTATGAACAATACATTAATTTACGCAGGCAAAGTCGGAACCACACGCTAGTTGGAATAAAATTCCATTCAGCAGCGATGCGTTTGTTATTGTGCGTGGTGCGAGATTTTTTTGGTCCTAAGGCGTTCTTTTAAGCTCTCAGCGACTAGCGCATACCACGCAGGCGATGTGTACGTGAAAATGGGCCGAATATACATATTGTAAATAGATGATCTGGTTCTAAAATATAGATTGCATTTCATTACTGGGCGTAGTAGTGCTCGAGCCGAATTCGTCTTCGCTATAATACTTTCGATATGTGGCCGCATCGCTAGGCGTGGTGCATTCGGTACAACGGGTTCTAAAGTACGCAACAAAATTTTCACCATCAGTTAAACTAATTTTCATGGAAGGTTTATTTTATTATATATTCATTGGAACATTATAAACAATGAAAATGGAAAATCTAAAACTCGAAATACTAGTTTTAATTTAAACATTGAACATAGATATGTTACATCAGACGTTGAAGTTGCTACAGCATTTGAGAACTTTTTCACTGATATTCCAGTTTCAACTACAAAATCTTTGAACTCCTCCCCCATTGCTGCTGAATCAATATTAAAAGAACACACAAAACAATATACTATTCAATTTAAATTTAAGTATGTTAACTGTAAAGATGCAATAAAACATTTCAACCAATTAAATAAAAAGAAAACTGCGGATCTGTGGGGTAACTCCGTGGATGTTTCTGGATCAGTAATTGAGACAATAGCTCCTATTTTGGCTAGCAATTTTAATCAATGTGTTGACTATGGTGTTTTTCCTGATCTAATGAAACAGTAAAATAACTCCATTACATAAATCGGGTAGCACATCTGACCCCACAAACTTTAGACCTATATCCGTGTTACCCACCTTTAGTAAGCTTTTTGAAAAAATTATGCTAGATCAAATGCAATCATATTTTTATAGTAATAACATTCTTCATAGTAAACAATTTGGTTTCACAAGGGGTCGCTCAACAGCCGATGCCGGTGTTGAGCTTGTACAGCAAATTTTTGATGCCTGGAAGAACTCGCAAGATGCATTAGGTGTATTTTGTGACTTATCAAAGGCTTTTGATTGCGTTTTTCATGAAACATTGATCATGAAACTTCACCACTATGAATTTAGAGATACCACTCTGGATCTTATTGTATCTTATTTGAGTGATAGGGTTCAGAGGGTTGACATCAATGGAGTAAAATCTCCTGGTTCGTCGGTTAAGATGGGAGTTCCGCAGGGCTCAATCCTTGGTCCTTTCTTATTTTTAATTTATATCAATGACTTGCCCTATTTTGTAAAGGATAACCACGAAATAGTATTGTTTGCGGATGACACTTCACTTTTGTTTAAAATTAAACGTAGGGAGTCACAAATTGATGACGTGAACAGGTCTATTTCGAAGGTAGTCCACTGGTTCAATGTTAATAATTTGATGCTAAATGAAGGGAAAACTAAGTGTTTGAAATTTGTATTACCTAATGTCAAACAGGTAAAAACTAATGTAAATATAAAGGATCGACATATGAGCTCTGTAGATACCACAGTGTTCTTAGGAATCACACTAGATTCTAAGCTGCAGTGGGGCCTACATATTGATGGATTGTCGAAGAGACTTAGTTCTGCAGCATATGCTGTAATGAAAATACGGCAGTTAACGGATATAGAAACTGCCAGATTAGTCTACTTTAGTTATTTTCATAGTTTAATGTCTTACGGTATTTTACTGTGGGGAAATGCCGCCGACATTCAAACTATATTTGTGCTGCAGAAGAGGGCTATTCGATCAATTTATAATCTTAAAGTTAAGGATTCATTAAGAGATAAGTTTAAAGAAATAGGTATATTGACAGTTGCATCACAATACATATATGACAACTTAGTATTTGTAAAAAAAAATATTAATTTGTTTACTAAAAATAGTGAAATACATACATATAATACTAGAAATAAAAATAACTTAACTTTACCTGCTACTAGGCTCCACAAAATCAATAATTCGTTTAGAGGTCTTAGTGTTCGCTTTTACAATAAAGTTCCAAGCAATATTCAAGAGTTAAGCATGACTAAATTTAAATCGACCATTCAAAATCACTAGTTAAGAAAGCATATTATAAAGTGTCTGATTATATTACAGACAAAAATGCTTGGGTATGAACTGTTCCATCCATTCCAACGGGTATTTCTATATGATTTAAATTATGAATTATGTGTTGATAATACTATAATTAAACTGAAAGCTGTATATAAAGTTGATAACTTAAGGAAGATTATCAGACTGTTTTAGAATATTTGATTGACAAAACGGCGTGGTCGTGATTTCTCCTTTGCTTTGTTTTTGTAATTGTTTGTTGGTAAATGACCTTAATTTAAGTAAATATGTTGTAGTTAGTATGGGTAGTTATGGGTAGTCATGCTCTCATAATAGTCTCTTCGGCGGTGTCGTGTGAGGCGGGTCGTTACGTTCCCTAAAATATGGTTGAGCGAAGCGATGGCTGGTTCATGCGTCATGCTCGTGAACGGGTGCTGCCAGCGGAGATGAGTCTGCCCTAACTTCCTTAATATTGAAGTTAATGTTTAGTCACACTGAATATAAATAACACTATTTGTATTTATACTGTATGACACAGCAATCAAAATGCAGGTAAACAATGTACATTTAATAATTATGTAATGAAAAGTGACTTCATGAATCACCT